GAGGGTACTACATCGGCTTGATGAATCTAAGGCCTTCCTAGAAGACAGTTGTAAGAAGGCATGATATTCATCACTAAGAACTCAACATTGTAGGTGGCTGGTTCGATTGTTAATGGCACTTAAATCTTGCCAATTACCTCCCTCTTGGTCCCATCAAATACTCAGACCGCGTTCTGACAGGTTCTCATATGAGAGGTATCCATTGCCAGCCTCTTTAATGTGACTAAAGGCATTACGTTCAGGGTTGAGCCATTATCGATCAATATACTTGGTAAGGCATGCCCCTTACAATACGTAGTGATATGTAATGCCTTAGTTCGGTCTCTTCATCCGGATGGAATCTCATCGTCTGAAAATGAGATGAGATTATTGGCTTGAATGTTGTTTACCAGTCGATCCATCTTGCTGGCTGGAATGTTTTATGGCACAAATGTCTGATTCATAACCTTGAACAGTGTCTCTCGGTATGCCTCTGAGTTCAACAGTAGTGTCAACATTGAAGTACACATTGGCAGGCTGTGGAGCTGTTCTATAACGCTGTACTCACTGTGTTTCAAGAATTTGAGGAACTCTTTAGCTTCCTCCTCCTTTATGGGTTCGTTGATAGCCAACACATCTTCCTTAAAAGGTTTAAGTGGTCTTTGCCCCACTTTGCTATCATCTTTTTTTGAATTACTCACCTGACATTCATACTTTCATGGCACTTGTCGATTGCCCTTTTATTGAAAAAGTCGGGTGTTGTGATCACCACCTTTTCTTATGTCGTTGCTGCTGGCATCGCTTTAGGGGTAATTATCAATGGGCTACCCCTACTGTATTTTCTTTCTGATGACTCCCTGGTAGCGCAAACGTATGCTTCCGGGGAATCTTTAACTTCTTCATAGAACTTTAGCTCTTTCCTGTCCATCATGACCTGGACCAAAGTTTTGAATTCTGTGCATTCTTGCACCTCATACCTTCCTCATTATGGTGACAACAATGGTTAGCCTCTATTCTCCTTGTTGTATCTACTTGTGGTGCAATAAGCCCTACCTTCACCATTTGGCTCCATATCTAAGACAAATGAGCTTTTACTTTCGAAACATTTGTCTTGACTCTTCTACCCTTCTCGGTAGTGATTGCGTTAATCTCAGTCTCCTAATGATCAGGCAAGGGATTCTGTCGAAACGTTTGGTGTTCCAGAGTTAAAATAGATCCAATTCTTGTTTCACATTCGTTGTACAATCCTCTTGAATGCAAGATAATTTTCAATCGAGTACCCCTGCACACCACCATGGTACTCGCAGTGAGCGTTCTCGTCATACCACCTGGGATAAGGGGGCTTAATTGTCTCTATAGGGTAAGGTGACACTATGTGAGTGTCGAAAAACTGTTGGTATAATTCCTTGTATGTCATGGTAATATGATCAAATTGCTCCCTTTCCCTTTCATTCCTCGGTTCTCTCTAATTTTGTTTAGAAGTACCAAATGGTACAACTACAGTTATTTTTGAACTTGAGATTGTAACACCTTTGTTGGCGTTGTAGGAGTTGACATTGTTGATCTCTCTATCTTTGTTCTTCATGGAGGTTTCTTGTTGGACTCTCCTCCATCAATTTTACCTTGTTTTATGGTTAACTCGATCATCTCTCCGACCATAACTAGATCTGAGAAACTTTCTGACGTGATTGCGACCAGTTGCCCGAAGTAAGGAGCCTTCAGGGTCTGTACAAAAAGCTTCCTAGTTTCCTTTTCATCCAAGGATGGATGAACCTGCACAATCAAATCCCTCCATCTCTGTGCGTATTGTCGGAAACTCTCGTTATGCTTCTTCTCTAGGCTTTACAGCATAACCCGGTCTGGTCTCATGTTATTAATGTGTTTGTACTGCTCCAAGAAAGACTTGGCTAAGTCTTTCCATGTCTTGATGTGAGTTCGGTTCAGCTGATTGTACCACCAGATAGTTGAACCGGACATGCTCTCCTGGAAGCAATGGATCAGGAGTTGGTCATTTCCCACATATCTTGTCATCTTCCGAAAGAACATAGTGATATGGGCTGAGGGGTAACTGTTCCCGTCGAATTTCTCGAACTCAGGGATTTTGAACTTTGGTGGAAGCACCAGATCCGGGATCAGGCTAAGCTCCATTGCATCCACTCTGTAGTAGTTGTGGTCCCCTTTAACCACCTTCATCTGATCTTCTAGCATCTTAATCTTCTATTCCATCTTCTTCACCTTATCTTCCTTATCAAAATCCGGGATAGGTAGTCATTCGGATGATTGTCAGGATTAGTTGTAGAAGTTTGTATCTTCGCAACAGATACGACTTTCCCTTTGGTAGGAGATGAGTCCCTGGGTATGATTCTGGGTGAAATAACCACCTGTGGGGTCGGTGGTATAGCTATCCCCTCAGACGAGCCTACCCCTGGTGCGCTTTCTTGTTATAAACCAGACCATTTAGCCACAATTTGATCGACCAAGGACTATTGGCTTTTAGTGATGGAATCCAGGGTACTCTGACTATTTTGGGCTATCTTATCTTCCAGCTTTTTCTGCAATTTTGTAATATCATCATCGATTTGAGTGATTATGGCCTCCATTTGTCTTTTCTTTGTTCGAGTGTTGTGAGGATGATGTGTATCTTGAGCTTGTGGAGGTAAACTCGGTGTTTGCTCTTTCTGAGACATGTTTTGTTAGTTAATATGAATGTAAAACATGGAAAATATATAGAAATAAACATGAAATATAAAATGCAAAGAATGAGATGCATGTGATTTAGAGGCATTGATCCAGAAATGTGTCTGTTATTATAAATAATCCATATTTAAACAAAAGTGTTTTATCTTTTAAGAGACAATAAAAACAATCTAAAGGTACTTCCGGACTAAATCCTCTAGACCCCGAACATCTTCTAACAGGTTGACAAGTATTCTTCCTTCATCTATCATTGGTTGAATGCCTTGTCGAACCACTCCAGTTTCCATTGCTAAGCCTTGAAAATAGCAGGCTACCTTCTGTATTTGCTCTAGGAAATCACGGATGACTGTATCTCTAGCCTTCACCCTTTGCTAAGCTTGTTCCCAATGGAAACGCCACTGTAACCCTCCATCAAAGGGAACTATCTGAAGCTCGCTTGCTTGCTTCTTGAATCCATCCATAATAACTTCTAACTCAGCTATGGTTTTGCCATCTCGCTCTTGTTGTTTCTGAAGAGATTTCTCCAGATCAGCTACTGGATTCTTAAGAGTTTGTTCTGATGATGGTTGTCTATCAAGGGTCTCTGAGCAGTCTTCAACTGTTCTTTTAGAGTCTCTCTTTCATCGTGCCCTTTAAACTTCCTCTTCAGGCTGCTAGCTTCGCCTTTCCAGTATTCATAAGTCTTTTTCAGATTGGAGTTATTCTGGACTTGCTCTTGGTACCCCTTACTCAAGTCTTCAAACTCAAAACGGACCTTCTTATGTTCTTTCTCTAGTTTGGCGAACAATGTACATGAATAAGGTTGAGCTCTTACTCTTAAAAAAAATACAGCCCATGCTTTAGATGGTCCTAGTGAGAAGGACTTGATGAATCTACTGATGTGAAAGGTTGAGTTATTATGCTCTTAATGAATTCATAGCCTAGGATTTGGGTGACCCTTTTGAGACAGACTTAATAAATTCACTAATTTGATAGGATGAACCACTAAATGTTCTTAATGAATTCATATCTCAGGTTTTGGGTTGTCTTAATGAGTTCATATCTCAGGTTTTGGGTTGTCCTTATGAGATAGACTTGATGAATTAACTAAATCTTAAAAAATTGTGAGGTTGAGCTTACTAAATGTTCTTAATGATTTCATAGTCCTGATTTAGGTGGTTTATATTGAGATAGACATGATCAAATCACTTACGTACGTGTGAAGAACTAGCCACCTTTCATGAAAGACATTAGATTATCTTTCTAGATCCCTTATTGATATCTTGAAATATATTGGTTAAATTGACTGATCTATTTTGTAACTCGATTGGATCCGAGATTAGTCGTCTATCATAAGTTTATTCTTATTTTAACAGGTTTAAGATTTATTCACTTGTTAAGAGAAGAATTACTTATTTAACTATTTACTAGTTATAATCTAATAGATATTGATTAAACTACTAATTTCATTGTTGCTCTTTACTCACATTTAAAATTCTTTACTTATTTGTATTAGTGGACAATTTTTAGATAGTACAAATAAAGTAATAGAAATCTTACTTTAAAATAAGATTTTATTTCTATTTTAAGAAGATACCAGAGGCGGTTGATATTTTATGATAATAGTCTATGTCTTATTTAGTTATTTACCCATCATTTTACCTTATAAATAATTCATTATTTAATACAAATGTAATCAACTAATTCTTTATGTTTTTTTATCTTTCTAATTATCTTTGGTTAGGTTTATCTCTGAGCTAAGGCAAGAGGGACACTTGCCTAAGGTCTCCTCTTATACAGGGCCTAAAATTATAAATTCATGAATAACTAAAAAAGAATAAATTATATATTTAGTCACTCATCTATTATTTTATTTTTATTTTGGTCATTCATGTTTTTCATAATTATACTTAACGTTACATTTTGTTTTTTGTTTTTTCTGTTACCCTCATTAAAAAATTAACGACAATGTTGACGTGACATTTTTTAAATTATTTTTTCACATTCCACTTAATTATTATTTTATTATTTTTTAACAAGATGGATAAGTTTAAAATCGAAAATATATACTCTTAAAAGATGATCATGCTATGTGTGAGTAGATGGGTGTTTAATAAAATTTCTTTATGATTTTATTTAAAATTTGATGTATTTATTAGATAATTTACTAAATGTAATAAAAAATAAATTACAAATACAAATTTATTTAATTTTGCTTGTTCTTATGATTTAATTTTTTCGATACTTGTTATTAAAAGCCTAATTTCTATATTCACCTTAGACCATTATTTTTTTAAAGAAAGTGTGCCTCATTAAAAACCCCTCCAAGCTCCAAGCCTAATAGGGGAAAAGAATACCCAAACGTATATTAACTTAAACCAATATTATTAAATACAGTCGTATAAATCATCTCGGGACAAACCGAGTCAAAATACAATGAGTTTCCATAACAAAGAGGCCAAGAGACCAGTTCATGAGCAATAATATTACAGTCACGAGGAATAAATCTAACAACATAATTCCTATTACTAGCCAAAATCGAACACGCCTCACGAAAATGAAAGTTTAAAGTGGAAAGATCATTCCCATTACGGGAAACCTTATTGACCAAAAGCACCGAATCATTCTCAAAAATCACCTGGGTCCAAGAATTTTCCAGCGCAAGCCGAAGACCAGCGAGGAAGCATGAATCTCAACAACACCTACCTCACCACATCCTGGAGAAACAGACGCTAGACCTCCCAAAACCTGGCCAGAATAGTCACGAGCAACCTCTCCAACTGCTACCATACGAGAAAAAGAATCAAAAACACCATCCACATTGATATTGACAACACCCGGGTCAGGAGGACGCCACTGCATCGACATGATGGAGGGATGGGGAACCTGGCCAGTGGTAGAAGTAAACCGAGGGCAAGAACCAATAGAATCCTGAGCCTGAGTAAATTCCTGGTGCAACAACTTCACATTCATAGCAAAAACCCAAGGAGGTTGAAAAATGTTACAAGAACCTTCACATTACGACCGTTCCAAATATTCCAGAGTAACGAAAAAGACCGCTAATTTTTCCACCTCTAGTAGGGCTAACATCGTTTCAAACCAAGACATGGGAGACACAACTGGGCATGACACCGTAGCATCAACAAAACTGACCGCAAGTAATGTGTATCTAGCATACCAGCAATCTCGTAAGGCATAGACAATTGTTTCCTCTGCAAAATGACACAGAGGACAAATGCCATCTCCGAGGCCACTTGCTCGAATCTGGTAACCAATAGAGAGGCCAGCATGAGCAACCTGCCAAGCAAAAATTCTAATTTTGGGAAAGACTGATAACATAGAAATCATCTACCACACTCGGGATGAATCAACAGTCCGTTGGGAATGACGATGGAGCCACCAATATCCAGAACGAACTGAATAACTCCCAGAATCATGAAAACCCCATATCAATGGTTCTTCATGAATCGGTGCTATTGTAGTCAAAAGAATCAAATTCACATCATTAGGATGGAACCAAGAGCGTACTTTGGCCTCATCCCAATATTGATATGTCGGGATCTTAAACGTATGGTCACATTGTTGATGGGGTAACCAATTAGAATAATCACCAGTTAAATTAATTAACTTGGATCCACCCCATCTATCCTTGACTAGATTCAAACCACTATCCATACTAATCCGCCAGTAAAGACTACCAGAGAGGGACTGCAAAATGTTATGAATCCCTTTCCAGGCATAAGAACTATTATTTCCCAGTTTAGCGCCCAGAAGATTCCCATTAGGATAATATTTCACTCCCAAAAGAAAGCAAATAATCCGGATGTTGTGCCAGGCGCTAAACTTGTTTACCTATCAAGGCCATATTAAAGGAAGAAAAATCTCGAAGGCCAAGTCCCCCATGACGTTTAGTCGAGCAAATAGTGGACCAGACAATTATAGGCCACCCATGACTGGCGGTCATTCCCGACCACCAGTACCGAAGCATGGCAACCGTCATCTCATCTAAGAGATGTTGAGGTAGTAAATAACATGACATAGCATATTGGGGCAACGCCTGAGAATCCGATTTGAGGAATAATTCATGCCCTCATAGGACAATAATCGTTTTGTCTAGCCTATAATACGAGTTAACAGCTTATCTCTAAAATAACCAGAGGTCTGAGTTTTATTCTTCCCTATATGCAAAGGAAGACCCAAATAGTGACCTTAAGTATCCACCGCCCGAATGCCAAAATATTGTCGTCTGTTGTCGATGATCAACAATTGTGGATGGGCTGAAATAAATAACAGATTTATCTAAATTCACTCTCTGTCCCAAAGCATTAGCATAAACAGCTAGTATATCCTTAATATTTCTTGCCTCTGCCATAGATTTTTTTAGGAAAATAAAACTATCATCCACACAAAGAAAATGATAGACTCGAGGTCCATTTTGACTAGCTCGTATACCTTTAATTAAATCATCAGCCTGAGCTTTATGGAATAAAGTAGATAGTCCCTGAGTTACAAACAGAAACATGAAAGGAGACAAAGGATCGCCCTGTTTAAGACAGTGGGTCAAAGAACCATTAACTCAAACCATGAAGGTAACAGATATAACACATGTCATGATCAATGTAACAAAATCATATTGGAATCCCAAACGTAACATCAAACTACAAAGGAAACTCCATTCAACCCTATCATAAGCTTTTGCAATGTCTAACTTAAGGGTGGCCCCTTTATTAGGACCATTTTTGGACAAATTCATGTAATGTAGTAACTCATGAGCAACCAAGATGTTATCTGAGATTTGCCTACCCAGGAGGAAAGCCGCTTGATTATCACTTATACAAGAAGCCATGATCAGTTTTAAATGGTTCACCAACAGCTTCGAGACAATTTTATAAACCACTGTACATAAGCTGATAGGTCTCATCTGGCGCATATGTTTTGGTTCAGCAATTTTAGGAATCAGAACCAATACTTTCTTATTAACTAAAGATGTATTTGTTCGTCCCAAGGGGTAACCGTAAACATAGCTGGATTAAATCAGGCCCAACTATATCCCAATGTTTCCGAAAGAAATTAGCAGGTAATCTATCATATCCACGAGCCTTACGAGGATAAATATCCTTAAAAGCATTAAGGATTTCCTCCTCGGTAAAAGGCTTACTAAGATCAAGATTCATAGCTGGAGTAATCACTTCCTCAACAGCTTCAAGAATACGATCAGGAGATCCCAAATTGGAAGAGCAAAAAAGTTCAAAAAAATACTCCACAGTTATACCCTTCATTTCAGTGATGTTCTCTGTCCAAGAATCACGTTTGTTATAAAGACCTTTGATTCTATTCTTGGACCGCCTTTGATTACACCGGTCATGGAAAAACCACGTATTATGACCACCTGAGCCTGACCACTGAACTCGGGATCATTGAGCCCAGTAGTGTTCATCTTTGTCAAATAATCGCTGAAGTTCCAGCTTGGCCGCCATTAAAGATGCCAAATTCCGGCGACCATGTCGCCGAGACAGACCATAATTCACACGTATACTGTAATTACCATTTTTGTTTTTACCTTAGCATTCCAGCAGCTTCCACTCCACGCCGACAGCAACCCATGGTTGCCCTTTGTCCACGTTTCAGTAGTTTCCAGTAAGAACAGTTGCCCCCTTCACGTTTCAGCTCCAGCGGACGATTCCAGCAACTTCTAGAGGAACACCAACTGTCCCTCCACGTCGGCAGCTCCACCACAGCAGCATTCCAGTAGCTTTCAGCAACACCAGTTGTTTCCCGCTCTATCCAATAGCTTCCAATAAGCAATCCAGCTGTCCCTCCACATTCCGGTAGCTTCCGGCAGCTCTACCCGTGGCCTCCTGAATACCGTCTACATCCTAATATCCTCATCAACAAATCAGAAAACAACAACAGTTAATTTAGATTTTTATTTTCATAATTGTAAAGGGTTATAAAAACCCCCAATCACAATGTAAAAGGGGATCTCTCTTTCTCTTCTCTCGGCCACAATTTTTCGAAGCGAACAAATTTGTAATAGAAGGAGGCTCCTCCTTTTTTTTAACGAAGCAATGTACCAAGGCAACAGTAAGTTTTTCAGAGAAATTTTATTATTTTTTAGCAACATTCGAACCGAAAAAGAGAGAAGGAAGGGAGAGTTGTTTACTTACATTTCGTTCGGTTTCTCGTCGGGTAGGGGTTGTCGTCGTCGGGGCTCCTCATGTTCGAAATAGGTGGCGTTTGGAGCGTTTTTGGCCACAGATTTGCGGTGACTTTTTGGGTTATGTGAGAAAAAAATGATGAGAGGGAAGGAGATGAGAAGAGTTTGGTTATGAAAGAGAAAAAAATGAAAGAAAAAAGATGGAATGATATTTTGGTCTTTACGTTACTGAAAAGAAATAAAGGGCGAAAGGGTTTGTTTGTTTTAAAATTTAGGGTAAATCACGGGTCAAGTCCATTATCTTTAGGAATTTATTATTTTATTCACTTAAAATAGGAAAAATTATGAAATAATTCCTCTAATTTAGGCGTAAATGTACACTTTAGTACCTGATTTCTCTGTTTTTTTTTCATTATTTCGAAATTAACTATTATATTTTTTTGTTTTGCTTTGATATCTATGCTTTACTTTATTATATTTTAGTCATTTTAATTCTATATTTTAATCTTGTGAACTATTTTATTTTGGGCCTTATATTCTGATAGCTTTTATTTTAGTTTTTTACTTTATATTTTAATTTATGTGATTTACTTTTTATTTATTTAATTTCATTATTTTAATTTCTATTTTTTATTTTTTATTTACATTTTCAATACTTTAATTTTAGTTCTTTAATTATTTCGCTTTATTTTTTGTTTAGTTTATTTTAGTCTCATAAATATATATATGCATGTTTCATATTTTTATTACATTAAATGCCTTATTTTGCTATCTTGTATGTTGTTTATGATTTTATTTTATTAAAGCTCTAAAATATGTTTATCCATGTCTACTTTAGTTATATTCATTTTGGTTGAATCAAATTATTTTAATATTGAGTTATTGGGATGAATTATCATATTCTTATTATTTCAGTTGGAAAGATAAATATTCATCCTAAAGTATTTTAGGGATTATTTTCTCTTTGATTGTAAATATGAGAATATTTTCCATTTTTTCCTAAGAATTTTTCGTTATAATTGTAAAAATTGTACGATTGAATTTGGAATAATAGGATTGTGACTTAAATTTATATTTGAATTCATAGATTTTCACTACTAGAGACAATTTATAATCGATGGGTACCAATTTTGGACGTTGTGGTGTGCTGATAAATGCTTAATTTAGTTAATATTTTGCTTTTAAATTAATCCTTAATAATTGGTTTTTGTGACTTATTTGTTCGTTTTGATTCATTTTTTGTGCATGACGTTAGATTCTGGAAATTGCACAAAAATTAAGGTTGCTTTCACAATAAGTTTTCTTTATCCCAATTTTAGTTATTTTATTTATTTATTTATTTAATTTTATTTCATTATACTTCTTTAAATAATTTAAATCCCCTTTTTTATTTATTACTATTACTATTTTATTATTATTTATTTATTATTATATATTTTAATTCATTAAATCTTTTCAACTTCATCTGGAACTCTATCTTCCTCTAAATAAAGGAGTTTTACTAAATCACAAAAACCATAGTCCCTGTGGATCAACTCTGCTTCTCTATACTACCTTTTCCTTTCTATTTAATAAGCCAAAATTATTTTGATAGCAAAACGACAGTTATCAAATTGGCGTATTGCCGGGGACTAACAACAAGTACTGATTTACTTTTCTAGTTTTTGATTAATGACAGAAGAAACCCAGGTGAATTAGTAGATCTAGATATGGAGATCGAAGCACGAGCACGAAGAATCCACGCACAAACGCTTCGAGAAAAGAGAAAAAGACAAGAAGAACAAGAGCAGAGTTTAGAAGCAGAATCAAATCCGGAGACTGAAGCAGACGCATATAACATTCTGATGGCAGAAGAATAACAAATAATCCGAGAACTAGCCACAGCTCCTGTCACTCAGACGCCGTTATGCATTAATTTTCCTAGTGGCAGGACTCCGTTTCAATTAAAGACATGACTCATTCATCTTCTTTCCACTTTCCACAGCTTTCCTATTGAAGATCCATACAAACACTTGTTGGAATTCCACATGGTTTGCACTAGCATGAAACCATAGGGAGTTACCGAAGATCAAATTAAATTGAGAGTTTTCTCTTTCTCTTTAGTCGACTTGGCTAAAGATTGGTAATTTTATTTACCTCCAAATTCAGTTAATTCATGGGCTGACAAGAATCAAATTTTTCTTGACAGGTTCTTTCCAGCGGCTAAAGCAAGTGAGTTATGAAGGAGCATTCTTTCCATTCAACAAAAGACCGAAGAAAGTCTTTATGACTATTGGGAACGATTTAAAAAAGTTTGCACACTTTGTCCGCAACATAGATTAAGTGAGCAAATATTACTTCAATACTTTTATGAAGGCCTTTTACAATGAGATGAAAATAGTGGATGCCGCCAGTGGAGGAGCATTAGTCAACATGACCCCAACAACAACAAGGGAATTGATTTCAACCATGGCAGCCAACTCTCAACAGTTTTCAAGTGAACCCAGCGACGGGTTCATGAGATAAGTAATTTTTCCCTTGAGAATAAGTTAGACAAATTTACTGAAGTAGTTAATTCACTTGTTGCAGGAAAATCTGGAGCAACTAGAGCATGTGGGATATGCACAAAGTTAGACCATCCGATGGATTGCTGCCGCTGATACAAGAAGGAGGAAATACAAAAATCAATGTCATAGGAAACTTTCCAGGACCTCCACAAAGACAATACAACACATACAACAATACTTATAATCCATGATGGCGAGACCACTTAAATTTCAGCTATGCGGCAAATTAAAGACCAACTTATCAACCAAGACCTCTTCCTCAACAGCAAACACAAAAATCATCATTAGAGGAACTCATAGGAAAGTTAGCAACTTCATAAGAAAAGTTCATTGCATCCTAGGAAAAAATCCAAAGCCGGATCGAAACACATCTTCAAGAGTTAGATAACCAAGTAAGCCGACTATATCAAATTATGGGAAAATTAGAATCACAAGGAAGACTACCTTCTCAAACGGAGTTAAATCTGAGAGAGAATGTTAGTGCCATCACACTCCGAAGTGGAAAAGTTATCTCACCTGAAGTTCCAATAGAAAAAGCCGCACATCAGGAAGAACAAGAAGAAACACCACCTCTAGAAATACAAGGTACGTCCAAGGCACATCCTTTTCTTTCTTCTCATGAAATCACGCCACCACCCTTCCCATCAAGACTGGTGAAGTGTGATAAAAGAGCTGGAGAAAGGGAGATCTTAGAGGTGTTCTAAAAAGTTCAAGTCAACATACCTCTTCTTGAGGTAATTCGACAAGTATCGAGGTATGCTCGATTCTTAAAAGAACTTTGCACTAGAAAGAGGAAATTAATGGGGCACGAAAAGGTAAATTTGGGAGAACATGTCTATGCAATTTTTCAACGAAAGCTCCCACCAAAGATGAAATTTCAAGGTATGTTTGCTATACCTTGTAAAATATGTGATTTTAAAATTAAACGTGCAATGTGTGACTTAGGAGCTTCAATTAATGCTATGCCATTTTCTATTTATAAAATGATTACTAACGAGCCTTTGAAGAAAATGGGAGTAACCATACAGTTGGTTGATCGGTCAGTGATCTATCCAGTGGGAATGATGGAAAATGTCTTAGTGAAGGTCGATGTATTATTTTTTTTCCTACAGATTTCTATGTCATTGATATGGAACATGAAAGGTCGGATACTTATTCCGAGGTACTTTTAGGCCGACCCTTCCTAAGCACAACACATACAAATATCAATGTTAGAAGTGGTACACTGACAATGGGATTTGACGGTGAGATCGTTGAATTTAATGTTTACAAAGCAATGAAATACCCGGATCGTGTTGAAAGAATTAATTTGTTGATGTTATAGATCTTTTAATTGATGAATATAATGAATCTAATTTTTCTTATAATCTCTCCAAGGATCCTGAACTTTGCCACAAAGAGGAAGAAAGGGAGTTTGAAAATATTCATTCAATCAATTTTGATTTTTTACCTTTCTCTAAAACTAAAATTTTACCTTCTGTTTTGCAGGCACCTAAGATAGAATTGAAACAAATGCTAAAACACTTAAAGATTGCATTTTTAGGATAAAATGCTACTTCACCGGTTATTATTTCGAATAAGTTTTCAAAGCTAAAAAAGATCCAAGGAAAAGCCTATGAGAAAGCCAAAATCTACAAGAAAAATAATAAAAGAATTATACGATTGTAGAATTTCTCATAAGGAAGTTCTTAGTTGGAAAAAACATATGAAGTGGAGGAAGTATTTCTCTCGAAATCTCTAGTCTGAATCAGGTCGTCGAGCTAACGACGTTAAACAAAAGCGCTTGATGGGAGGCGACCCATTTCATTATATTTTTTTATTTTCATTTTATTTTCAGCGAACTTTATTTCATTCTATTTATTTTATTTTGAGTAATTTATTTTATTTTTCTATGAACAAATCCGAATTTCGATCGAATATTTAACGAAAAATAGTGTAGAAAAACTGACTTGGTTTGAACTATGCAGAAAAATTTGAACATAACAGTACAGAAAAAACTGATTTGGTTCGAACAGTGTAGAACAATACACAGCAGATTTGAACAATGCTGCAAAAAAAAAACAGTGCAAAAAAAGGTTTGGTTTGAACTATATAGAAAAGTTCGAACAGAACAGTGCAGTATCGAACATTCTACTCTACAACAGCTCTTCTCGACGTGGCCGCAGTCGCCACTAGATTGGGGAGCATTCATTTTCCCTCTCTTTGTTTTTCAATTTAATATACGTTTTGGGACAAAACAGAATAGGTGAGGGGAAATGATAAGCATGTCGTCAAATTTTTCCTTGACTTGTTTAATTATTTGAAATTGAGTTGTTCTGATATTGATATGTTGGGATCATTGGTTACTAGTCTTGAATTCGTCTTTATACTCTTGCTTCCTATTAGATTGTGATCATGTTTTGATCGAATTTAATTTGCATGATTGGTGATTGATATAGCTGGTCAATTTTTTGTTGAGTATTGATATTTCATGCTTTTGTCGATAGAGATGAACTTGACTCAGTGCACATAAAATTTTCTTGTGAGATTTGAGCCTAACAAGCATACATTTTCTTTCTTGCTCATTGTTTGACTTGTTTGTGCTGGACTAATTAGGATTTTCTAGAACTTGTAATCACAATACATATCGAGACTACATGTTGAATGTAATG